AGCGCCGATTCCGTCGAGGCGAACACGGAAGAAGCGGAGACCTTCCGAAGCATCCAACTCAGATGCGGCGCCATCAGTGCCTGCAGTCTCACCCCGGCCACCTTCAAGAAGCGTACGAAGTGCTCGTAGCGTCATGACGGATGGTCACGAGAGTGGAGGCGAGGCAGAGCACACTGGTTCAGATCGAGAGGCAGGCCGCTTACGACCAGCGCGAGCACGTCGTGGTCAGCCTAAGAGGACCGACAAACGACCACTCGCATGGATCGAAGAGGCCCAGCCTGGAAGCCTGATTATCGCTTTCCATCTCAACAACGAGAAAGTCCAGAAAATTGTCACCGCCAAGCCCAAAGTAAAGACACTCACGCGCGAGCAAGAGCGACAGGAGAGGCGGCGCGAGAGGGATAGAGAACGTCGCGAAAGAAATCGTCGGGCTGCACAGGCTGCACGAGAATCCTCAGAGGTCTTGCATTACCCAACAATACACATTCAAAATGCCGCTCCGTTCCCAGGCTTCACCGACAGGGAGCCGGACGAGGTCAAGAGCAAGCCCTACGGTGGTGTACTTTCGGAAGCGGATGCCGATACATCCAAGACTTATCCTTCTCCCGCCGACCGGAAGCGGTTCGACGATGCTCGCATCAAGGCTGAAGAAGAATGGAAAGTGAAGCAGGCCGCACTTTACCCACCCGAACCACTCCGGTCGCACAAGCAAGCAACCACGGCGAGCAAGATCAAATGCGTCAATTTCGGTGGCTGGGAGATCGACACCTGGCACGCTGCGCCATATCCTGAAGAGTACAGCAAAAATCGGGTGCTTTACATATGCGAGTTCTGTCTCAAGTACATGAACTCGGATTATGTGGCATGGCGGCATAAGGTAAGCATGTCGACTTCTTTCCATGGCCATATACTAACAATCACAGCTCAAATGTCCAGCGAAGCACCCTCCTGGCGACGAGATTTACCGCGACGGCAAGTACTCCTTCTTCGAGGTCGATGGCCGAAAGAATCCAGTGTACTGCCAGAATCTCTGTTTGCTCGCCAAGTTGTTCCTCGGTTCCAAGACGCTATACTACGATGTCGAGCCCTTCTTGTTCTACGTCATGACAGAAAATGACAACTTTGGGTGTCACTTCGTCGGCTACTTTTCGAAAGAGAAGCGTCCCAGCTCGCTCAACAACGTTTCTTGTATTCTCGTACTTCCTATTCACATGCGCAAGGGCTACGGACAGTACCTGATCGAGTTCTCCTACCTCTTGACCCGCGTGGAGAGAAAGACGGGAAGCCCCGAGAAGCCTCTCAGTGACATGGGTTTGGTGAGTTATCGGAAATACTGGCGGCTTGTACTGTGTGAGGAACTACTCCAGCAAAAGGCTGCGATCAGCATATCGGCTATATCAGATCGCACCGGCATGACACCTGATGACATAGTATCAGCGTTGGAAGGCCTACGAGCTCTTGTGCGCGACCCTGTCACGAAGAAGTACGCGCTTCGCCTTGATTTGAACTACTTCAAGTCATACATTGAGAAATGCAACGCCGCAGGCAACCCAAAAATCAACCCGGAATGTCTGATATGGACACCATACGTCATGGGCCGTCTGGGCCAGTACGAAGATGGACCCGCCCTGCAGACAGTGCAACAGCGCGACGAAATCGAAGAAGAAGACAAGCCCGCACCCGAGGAAGGTGTACAGATGGCAGCCGCGAAAGCCAACGGTACAGGCGACGAAGCAGATGGCCCCCACCCCGCCGAAGACTCTGTTAACGGCGGCTCACCACCCCCCGGCACACCCCTCGTAAACGGCTCCACCGTCGCACTCGCCGGCTCCCACATGGACGAACCCGCAATCCCTCCCTCCCGCTACGAAATCTTCCCTCCCATCCCCGGCCAACCTGCACAGCGCCGCCGCCCAGGCCGCCCCTTCGGCACCCGCCGACGTACCAGCACCCCCAATCGCGTCCGCAACACCTCCCTCTCCATCCACACCGCCCCCGTATCCAAAATGCAACTCTCGCCCAGCCGCGGCGCAAAAGCCCTTATGTCGCCCTCCGCCAACGGCGCCCTCACACCGGGTACTATCTCCCTGCGGCGTACACGCAGTCGCCTCGGAGAAAGCGTTACAAACGGAGACGACGTCTCAGACGGGGGCGCGGTTAAAGCTGTTGTGGTCAATGGGAGGAGGAGCACACGGAGCTCTGCTAGCTCAAGGGGTAGCATCGACTTCAAGGGTAAAGGCAAAGCGCTGCCCATTGAAGAGGAACAGGAACAAGAACAAGAGCATGATGAGGACATAGACGCCGATGGCGATTATGATGAGGAAGAGGGGGATATGGATGTTGATGCCGAGGGCGAGGAGGACGATGATATTATCATGCAGGATGCATGATAGTGTTGCTAAACACTTTTTCCACTTCTCCCGCTCACGTCTTGTAATATTTAGTGTTGGTAGTGGTGTCGATCTGACATCTAACTATCTTTTTTCTCGTTCTCCTTTCTATTTATGTTTCAGCGCGGAGAACTAGGGGCTTCGATTCTTTCTGTAGTGTTAGGGTTGTGCGCTGGTTGGGGCTATTGGTGTATATGCATTATGGAGATACCTTGGGATGGGATGGGATGGGATGGGATGGGATTGCGAAGCGGGGCGTTAGTCAATGTATCTGCACATATCTCCTGAGCTGGGCTTCATGTGTGGTTTTTTCCGAAAAGAGAGTGTGAGGATTCTTTTCTTAGACTCTCTTCTCGGAAAAAACCACATCTCGAGTTTCAATCCAGGGGATGTATGTTCATCTATGGAATATTCTCGGTGATGCATTTGGGTACGACGTTCCAGGGGCGGTATCATAGTCTTGTTGTTATCGCTGGTAGCATTCGTGCCAAATGACGAGTGGTAATGACGCCGTCTCAGTTCTCTTCAATCTAAACATCCATCACAATCCCCACTTCTGCTCCACCTTCTACTGTTGTCTTATCCCAACGCGCTTGATCTAGCTAACAGCCCCAGGGCGCTCCGCGCTCGAGCCAGGTAGTAATACAAATCTGAAGAGTGCTGCCATGTCTCCACATTCAGCGCACACACTCGGCTAAATACTCCTGCAGGTTATGGAAGCGATATCATCATGAACACACAGAAAACAACACGGTGGATATCCAAGTAGATGTAGTTGCTTGATATTGATCGAATCATCGTTCTTTGAAGTGGAGTAACATGCCGTAGATGTCAAGACTACTGAATAATAAGCCTGTGATTGTTCGGATATTGTTGACGTAGATACCACGCGCGCGTGGATATAGTCTACTTACTTTGATAAATAATCCTACCTAGATAGTACATCAATACCATATCTCCACTTCTATTCCAGGTCCTATTTTCTCTTTCTGGACGATGTTGTTAAAGTGGCATATGAATTCAATTTGAAGAATACATTGGTGCCTCATTAGGTGAGTCAGTAGACCCCCGTATCTGAGACTGAACCTGCTTATGCAGTGCTCCAGTAAATTCTAGGATATATGTCCAGCGACATCACTACCTGGGTCTTTACGGGTACACTAGTGACTGCGCATGCGACGAAGAATGGCAGAGATAGGACGACAGCAGTGTTTGGTGCGAAGTTCAACCTTCGGCGCTGGGAACTGGGCGGACAAGTGAGCGATATACTGGTATCTTACGCAAAACAAGGGTGCGTATTCCGAGAATGCGAGTACATCGCTCATCCATTCAAACTGAGCTTTCTCCTTTCCTCATCGCGTGGGACGTATAATTGACCTTCTCGATATTCAGTCCCGGACTTCCAAACTGTATCCCGTACCGACCCTCGCACCACAGCGGACACAAATTGTTTACCGAACATGTCGTGCTACAGTGCACAGCCCGTCACCCACCAGTCTCCATGGCATTTTCAAGTGAGCATGACCTGGGATCTTCTCCCTACTCCACATATCGGCGAAAACCCTATGATATCACTCAGCATACGAGCTTCCCATCTGAACGATTGACGCCCAGTCTGATCTTCTCTGCACGCAACGACGATCTCATACGGTCTGTGTAAGCAGAACCCGTTTTTCCGCTTGTCGCTGGTAAAAGCAGCCGAACACCGGCGTTCCCCAAGGGATGAACTCCATCTTCAATGTAACTCGCCGCTTTCGCTCCTCCTTGCATCGCAGTGCAGCGCGTTGCATTGCATTCCTCTAGTGACTTGTGCGACGTGAAGCGCCGTTGGGGTGCCGATACCGCATGCCAAGACTGTGAGCACGCGATGCTCGTGTACTGTGACACATTCGTCGTCAAACCCTTTGCCAGACATCCATCATCAATCTCGATTCGCGTGTTGAGACTTGATGGAGGCTGACAATGTTCGTGGCTGGATAGCGACGGATAGGGCTGAGAGCACTAGTCCGGATACGGTTGGACCGGGTTGCGATAAGGTGATGTGCTGCGGGGATGTCAGAGTGGGATATCCCGATCGAAGCGGGAGAGAGCCCGAGTCTAGCGCTGTCGTTCGCAAGGCGTCGTTGACATCTGCCTTTTCTTTTGCGTTCCTGCATTCTCGAAGACGCCTCTACATTTGCTTTTGAGGTTTGTTGCACGTTACAACACGATGCTCGGCCTGTCCATTTCCGCCCTGGGTATCCTTTTCCCACTTCTGCTCATCGTCCAAGTGCTGGCTAGCCATGTGCGCAATCCACTGCGAAAGGTCCCCGCTGCCCATCCGCTGGCGCATATCACTTCACTCTGGATGCATTCAGTCCGATGGCGGGGTATCGAGAATGCGACACTGAAGGCAGCGCATGACCGCTTGGGCCCAATTGTGTGTTTGGGACCCAGCGAGATCAGCGTGAACTGCGTCAAAGGAGGGATCCGAGACGTCTATGCCGGGGGATTCGAGAAAAGCAGTGCCAAGGATGGGTACAATTGGTATGCTTTCTTTTCGAATTATGGAGGGTAAGCACTGTCAGATGACCGGCCGTGCGTTTATTGACTCATCGTAGAGTCGACAACATGTTCTCCACTGGACGCAATAAGCCGCATTCGCAGAGGAAGCGAATGCTGAGCAACATCTATAGCAAGTCTCATGTCACGGCAAGCGAGGCACTGCTCGGCCAGACGTCTGCCATTATGTACAAGCGCTTTTTGCCGTATCTGGAGACGACGTTCGCCGAGTCTGAGAAGGGGGTTCTCAACGTATACGCACTACTCAGCGCAACCACGATGGACATTGTGACGTGCTTCATCTTCGGGCTCAAGGCAGGCTCGAACCTAATCGATGACCGAAAGCAGCTTGCGTGGTTTCTTGATTTGTACAACTCGCGTCGATCCTACAACTTCTGGCCGCAGGAGTTCCCACGATTTACTAGCTTTGTGGAGAAGTGGCTTGGCTACCGATTGACACCGAAGTGGGTCGATGAGGCGAACGGTGAGATCGAGAGGTGGACGGTGAGGATGTGCGACGATGCTAGTGCTGTCTCGAGCGCAGGCGATGCACAGATCGAGGATCGACCTGTGGTGTGGCAGCAGCTCCAAAACACCATGGCAAAAGCCGCGAAGGAGGGCGGGGAGAGCGCACTACAGACTCAAATTGCGAGCGAGGTGCTGGACCATCTTGCGGCAGGGTTCGATACGTCCGGGATAACACTGGTCTACGTCGTCCACGAGGTCTCGCGGCATCCGGGAATCCAGGCCCGTCTTCGCGCTGAGCTGCTTGGTCTCTCGCCGCAGCTTGTCCCGTCATCAGCGCCGACACTGCCTGATGCTAAGGCTGTAGACAGCCTACCATTCCTCCATGCCGTCATATGGGAGACCCTGCGTCTTCATTCGGCCATTCCGGGCCCACAGCCACGATTCACGCCGCCGCAAGGCTGTCAACTTGGACCTGAAGAGGCTTCGTACCACATTCCTAGTGGAGTAAGGGTGAGCGCAAGCGCGGGCCTATTGCACCTCAACGAGGAAGTGTTCGAGCGCGCAAACGAGTGGAGGCCAGAGCGATGGCTGGACATGGACAGGCTAGACGAGGAGAAGCGGAGGGATATGGAGAGCCGGTGGTTTTGGGCCTTTGGAAGGTCAGTACTACTTCTCGAAGCACGTTGACCGCTGACACTCACTATCATGGACAGTGGCGGACGCATGTGCGTTGGAAGTCACTTGGCGACATATCGTAAGTGCTGATCCTCCATGGTTGCTTTTGGGCGCTCCGTTCCCAAGACATGGATGCTAGACGCTGACAGAATCCAGAAATGAAGTACATCGTCGCAGCGCTGTATTCCAACTACAGCACCACCATCGTCGACGATACAGGCATCGAGCAGATGGATTCGTATACTGCGCCGCCCAAGAGTGACAAGCTCATGGTAAGACTTGCAAAGGTAGAGTAGGAACGAGGCTTGCTGAAGGCTCTCACCTCAATGATCAGGCATGTTTGGACCCTGATCTCCGACACTGAACAAGGAAGGAAGCATCTGCCCCGCCGCACGTGCAACAAGTCTTAGCGGGGAATCGCCTTGACGTAAAAGCAAGCATACTGTCGGCAGCCGTACGGCGAATTAAGAGTGTGCGGCCGGTTTACGCCGCTGAGTAATTGTACCATGGTAGAGCTGTGGGAACCGCACGTAGTTGAGCCAATCAACAGTCATAAACTCATGCGCTATCGTGGGGAACGCAGCGTTAGAATCCTTCAGGAGCGTTCAACTCGTTTTGGCGGGATGTGAAGGCTTCGACTGTTTGGACAGGTTTCTGTCAGTGCGGTGATATGCTTCTTGTCTCATCTGGGCAAGAGATGATGCTTGTTGATCTGCTTCTTCCATCAATACAAACGCATCAGCTTTGGCATCAGCTGCATTGCACCGGCCACCCGGCTAGACCAACGCAAGTCTTCGTAGTTCTGCCACAGTTTCGTACAGCCAATGGCGACCTGGAAGCCGCGGGCTCGCTCGACGCCGGCTATGCAGCATCCCTTTGTCCAGGGATCATGTCGTTCTGCGCGACCAGTGACCTGCTGCGTACATACATCATATCTTCTTGGCTCACAGGTGGCCAAATTGCTGGTGACAGTTCCATGTATGCGGATCGCCGAATTCCGCTTGCGATGTCTCAACTCTCGGTTACAATGTATCATGAGGGACACGTGTGTATGATACAATGATTCGCGGATTGATCTGGCAGTCGGTGAAGCTGCTCGACGGTAATAAGCTTGCGTTTCTACGCAAAGCGATCCATGTGGAGTGGTATGTGGAGTGTTCGTTGTGCAAGGTGGGGGCGGTCGGGAAGAGCTGTGACCAATATGTACAGCAACAATAACGGAGTTGGAAGTGTTGTGGATCTGGACCTGGCCGCATTCGCATTCGAGGGGCACTCGACTCGAGTAGCTAGGGCAGGCGAAGTGCAGCCGTGCTACACTCTGTCAGTCAAGTGCCGTGTAACCCAAGACCGGTGTAGTGATTATCATGCGACAGTATCCTGCTCGGATGGATGATGGATTTCGGGGCCGCCGGACGGTAGTTGGCGTCGAAGCTGCATGTAAGCAGTCGTTAGTTGCGGCGGCAGAGAGGCAGCGCCATCTGGCCCTATTGGGGGGCTGATAATAATCTCATAGGTACTGCTGTGAATGCCGATCAACCCGTCTGAGGTGTACGCAACCGTCATGTCTACGGTGTGTGCCGTTGATAATCTGCAATGTACACTCAAAGAATTGTTTGACAAGCTTCACAGCTAGAAAAAGTATGCCGGGATGCATATCTACTGACCGCCTCGACGCATGCTCATGTCAAATCACCAGCTGATCTTACAGATCAAGGCTGTTGTTACTGACATCTTAGCCCAGACGCACGGTGGTGTAGTTGCAGCGAGCCGTCCGATCTTTGGCACGAGAATGTACTATGGTCGTTAGTGCATTGTTTGTGAACCATGTGTGTTCATTCTTTCGATCATTGCCTTGCTGCGGCAGTTGTAAACGTGGCTATGGCGCCTAAGACTCATTGCGTCCACTGCATACGGCTCAACGGAACCAGAAGCCTAGTCGCGATGTGTCCCAAGATACCAACCGTGTTTGTGCAGTAGAGATCTTAGATCCAACAAGATGCAGGGAGAATGTCCACGAGGTCTTTGCGATAGAGGCCATGTCACCACCCCACATCCGCATGAGGGGCCCACAACCGCGAGGCACTGGAAAGGTTTCCGAGCTTGCACAATGCAAATATCCAGATTAAGACGCTTGGATGGAGGCCGGATACCAGAGCAGAAGGGCAACCCTTTTGTTTGGACTGTGCAGGCAGATTTGCGATATCCCAGAGTGCACGCCTGACTAGTATTGCAATATTGAGTGACAGTGAACCTCATGGCAGCCCGTGACGGCAGCTGATAGTCTCTCGACAACGATGAACAGCCCGAGCCTCCGCCGTAGTAAGCGAAAAGTAAATTAAGCGCATACAAGGTCGATGTTGGGACAATATTTGCAACATCTGCAAAGGGCCAATAGCGGGAGGCTCTCGTATCCTGCAGGAACAGCGGCATGTCGGAGGACGGAGAGAAGACGTGGTGCACGAGGGAAAGCTGCCGAGACAACGAGACGATCTGTCGTAGAGGCGCAACAAGCAAGCAGCTAGCACTCAGATCATCGTGCTTTGACGACAGCGAGTGTTACCTGGTGATGGTGACCCGGCAAGACTTCGCTAAGGACATGGCTGGCTATAGCGCTGCTGTCTGAGGTAGACTGCCGGCCACATGAGGCATCGCAGGAAGTGCGCCGGCCTCTCACTCGCTGGCAGTTTGTGGCTAAAGGGGTGTTGGACGGGGGTGCGGATGACGGTGTAACATCGTAGAATTTCTTTCATGAAGAGAACGGAGCATTCGGCGGTCTTCGCTTGGAATCGAACCACATCCCTGCAGAAATCCTCCCAGCCACCGCGCGATTTGACGGCGATCATCCTCCCCACATGCATCTTCATAGCCTCCAGACGACATCACCCGCCCTCAGCCCGACGAACGTGAATGCACAATGCGTCATTGCCCCATCCGTCTGCAGCGCCCAATGGGGACGTTTCCTGCACGGTTCGACGCCCGTTCCAGGTCCGATTGACGACAGCGAGCGTACCGGGCACTCTATCGCAGCGTGCGTGCCGTCTGCTGCAGTGATACGCGACTATGTTGTGGGTATCCTAGCCTTGACTGTCCTGTCAGTTTAGCCTTCGAGTCCTGAGGCACGTCCCGGAGCCGCCATCGTGCGCCGTCGGAAAGCGTGTGACAGCCGCCATGTGTGTGGACGTGTTCAGTACCACTGCACTCGCCTGCGAGTGGTCCCGACGGATATGTTGGGGTCCGTTCATCAGCTAACTCGAGCGCTCTGTGTCTCTGGCTACGGATCAGAGGAACCGTAGCAAACAGGCTGTCGAACGGCGTGATGCTGAGATATTGGGCGCCAATGGATCATTATATACGACCTCTCAAGTAGAGTAGTTGCAGTGGCTAAATTCCGAGCGTCTCTGTGAGTGTCTACAGACATGGGGCTCTTCCGTTGCATGCAACCGGGTCCCCCGTTCGATGCCCTTGGACAGTGCCCTACCAACCCCAAACCTGGGATTGCCGTTGAACCCAAGCCGTCTCGCTATCCTTGCTCTACTGCCGCGCAGTCTGTGCAGCCAGGCTCTGCCATCCGGCTGCATGGGTTACCCTCGCTCTGGCAGCATAGTGCGGACGGGCTATTGCTGCATTCTAGCGCCAAACGACCCTTGGGCTCTCTTCGGCTTCATTCGAAAGTGCTGTTGAGCATATAGAACAGTCGCTGCACTACGGCACAGCATCTGCGACCAGCCTGTCTTCTTGTACCTCGTCCCGCCGTGCCGTCCTTGCACGCTGACACATGCGCCAGCGGGCTGGACAAGGTCCCATTTCCATCGCAAACCCGGTATTTCGCTGAGTGCATACCGTCCTGTCGTTTTCGATTGTACCCTCGACGTCATCTGCAGAACGCATCAACCACACTGCAGCCCTCTCCGGACTCGACGAGGTGCAAGAGCAAAATCAACCAGGCCTGTGTCAACAAGCGAGAAACCTTAGCTTCCAAAGCGACCGTGCCTACAGAAGAAGAAAGAAGCCCAGGCGACGTTCGATTGGCTGCACTAGAGCTTGTTCGCATGATTCACGCCGCCGCTCGTTCATCTCTTAGCACGCTAGCTCGGAGAGACCCTACAGCACTGATCGGCCGCGCTCGGCACCAGTTGCACTCGAGACTAGACGGGAAGCGACGAATCACCGTCGAAGCCGCCACGGAAGCACGAGTGTAGAGGAGCCCCGATTGAGACGACTACCTCGAGGTACCCTTGCCAGCTCTTCTATCTTGTGTCTTACTCTTGTGCGTCTTCCTTCATGAGCACTGCGACGTCGTCGCCCTCGACGCTCTTCCTCTGACCTTCACTTCTAATTCCATAATATTACCAGATTACCCTAGACTTACCCCCCGACACGTCATCGCTGCTTGACTGGTCGACCAGCACGACACTAATACTCTCGAAGCCGTTGGAAACGGCCCTCTTTGTTGTAATATTCGGAGCACACCAGGGCACTCTCGACCACGGTTCGGTACCAGACCTGCGTAACCTCAGTTCAATCGCAAACTCCTCTTCGACATCAAGCTGGTGCTATGCCTTGCGGAGACAGTGCGGAAAGTACAGTGTTCTACGGGTTCCACACTGCAGGTGCTGAGCGACGCAGGCGCAGTACACATTTTTTGTTGTTGCTTATATCTGCGCCTATCTCTGTTGGAAGTCACGGTCAAGGGTGGAGTCAACCTTCTCTCCGCAGGCGGGCCTTTAGTTCGGTCCCGTTGGAAGGCGAGCGCCAGATCCACTCCCGCGCGCGCCATTCTGATATCGACGCTTTCAAGAGGTGCCTCCAATTTTGAGAAAGGCAGCGCATACCACACGAGGACACGCATTATTATCGACTGTGCTGGACTGGAACAGTCAGAACAGGCAGCCGCGCTTTGACGGTACTTTCTCCGAAAAGGGTCCTCCACCCATGGAACGGTGATCCACTCGCATTTTCATCGCTCATTACCACTACAGTCACTGGTCACGCAGCACCTTCGGGCGGCACTGCACTCCGTAGTGACTCAAACCTTTGTTCGATTGGTCACCTTTCGCGTATTTCTCTCAAAGGTCGCTAGCCGAATTTCCAAATTCTCTTATGTTCTCAGTATTTTTCGACCGGACGACTCCATCTCACCTCCACATTCTCGGGCGTCTCTGAGACTTGATCCTTGGGTTCCTTACAACACGATTACGACCGCCGACCTCTGCTACAGAGGGCCAGACCATGAACATGAACATCCCAACCATGTATCCGCACCACCCGATGCCGCCGCAGTATAACCAGCCCTACTATCAACAGCACATGCCTGTCACACTACCAGTCGCCAGTCAAGGCCCCGAGCCTTTGAGCCCGAACAATTGTTACCTGTCTGTCCGCCAGCAGCCTAAAGAGGCACTGGTCGCGGTCAAGAGCAAGGAAAAGTTCCGGAAGCCTGTGGATCCTCCACCCATTCTCCAGCTCAACCTTCGGGATGGCGTTGACGCCTCGAACAGCTTCTTACAAAACCCCTACATCTTCCTCAGTGCATCCCTGTACAAAGCGGACAGAGATGAGCCCGTCGAGCACACTCCCAATGAATCCATGGCCGGCACACTGGTGTCGTCCCTGCATCGTCTTAAGGATGTTAATAACAAGGACGGCGGTTTCTTCGTCTTCGGCGATATTTCTGTCCGGATTCAGGGCAGCTTCAGACTTTGTTTCAGCATGTACGAGTTCCACCCTTCACGTGGGGAGGTACAGAACCTCGGCTCTGTACTTAGTGAGAAGTTCGACGTCGTACTTCCCAAAGACTTCAAGGGTCTCGAAGAGTCGACGTATCTCTCGCGGGCGTTCTCCGACCAGGGCGTTCGACTCAGGTTGCGCAAAGAAGCTAGAGGGATGATGAACAACAAGCGTTCGTTCCAGGCAGACTCAGAGCCTACCTCCCAGGCACAGATCGCCCCAAGCTACGAGTTCCAATCGTCTAAAAGAAGAAGGGAAGAGTACACTCTACCCTTAAACCCAGAGCCGACCACACAGGCACCCATCGACCACTCCGCCTACGAGTACGAGCACTCCAACAAGAGGAGGAGAGAAGACTCTGGCTACATCCTGCCTACCAACTTAGGCTCTGACCCCCCACCTCTGCCAGCGTACCCAAATAGCATGAATTTGTACGCTTCCTCCACTCTCGCACAACCACCACGGATGCCATTCCACCCAGGTCATTCAGGTCATCCAGGTCATCCAGGTCACCCAGGTCACCCAGGTCAACAGGTGTACAACTCCATGAACTTTAACATGGTACCCTCGTACGTCGATCATCAAAATGTTGATCCATGGGATCAGAAGATTCAACAGGAGACAGATTATAAGGTCTAGGAAGACCGCGATCGACTTCCTCCATATCGAGATTTTGCGATCGACTTGCCCGAGGTTTGGCCCGATATCAAGATTCAACAGGAGACGGATTATAAGGTCTAGGAAGACTCCGATCGACTTCCTCCATATCGAGATTTTGCGACCGGCTTGCTCGAGTTTCGCCCCGATATTAAGATTTTGTCATGCGAGGACGAGGCGGAGGAAGAATTCCCCTGGATGAACATATGATGACTAGGTCGAGTTCACATAATACGCACACGTTGGAGAAGGCATCGCACCACGCGTCCGTCTCGTTCACTCAGTTTTCGATGGGTATTTGACTTAGCTGTCTCTACCCTTTCTACACTCTCGGTTTGCGCGTGGTTTCGGACGTCGTCGTCCCCACGCTTTTCTTTATCAGCATGGTGTTATGACGAGGGCATTATGCATTTGGGTACGGAGTCATTAATCACGACAACATGAAGTCGTCTTTCTCTTTGTTTCTTTCTTATACATCGCTACGGTACTAGGTATCACACTGTCAACGGAGAGAGTAGTAACCCTACCCTCCTTGGGATCAAAAAAACACACCGCTCACCGAACTCAAAATACAAACAATTCAAAATTACACACTGAATCCCTATGAGTGATGCGCTTGAAAATGAGACCTTCCTTTGCATCGCGTCCCCCGATGCCGTACCTGCAGCCGCAACACACACTACCAGCGCGCGCGCAAGCCCTGAAAGATTTGGAAGACAAAGACGGCCACTCGGCTCGTTACCACCGTCACATGCGAAAGCGAATGTGTAGCGTAGATCTCATTGCGCACTTCCAGTCTCAGACTCGCGCTTGAACTAGTGATCGACAGCCGCGAAAACCTGCCTGGTGACATCGGGCGATGCCGTGCAGTAGCAACACACCGGGGTTTCCCGTCACAGCTGACGAAAAATGGTACGAGATTCTTGTGCGGGCAAATTTGTGCCTAACTCAACACAGGCCATGCTCTTGCGGCGATACGAAGACGAGATCTTGTGCTAGCTGGGTTCGTGGTTTCCGTGTTGGGCTGCATTCGCATCGCGCAGTGAGGATGAAGAAGGTTTGGGGACGGTTGAGTGACAGGATGAACGTGTCGCAGGCTCTTCTGGTAGGGAACTGGTCCATCTATCCAACAAACAGGTCATCGAGACCGCGGAATACATTTCTCTCGAGCCGCAGTCCATCCCGTCTCTCTACCAGACACTCCCATCTATGCAAACACGTTACACTATTCCCACCACAGCCCCCATCTGCTTGCCCCAGCAAGAAAAAACTGGTAATGGTTCGGTTCGCTCCAGCCCATACTCGCACCACATCCCCCCTCCCTTCACTGCCGGACCCAACCCAAGCTACCCAGCCCCTCGCCTCGCTTCCCCCATCGCGTGCCTCGCGTACATTCGCGCGTCTCGCGTTTAATCCAAGCCACCGCGCCGCCCGTCAAGCTCAAACGCCACACAGCACCCTAAACCTTTCCCACGATCGCCGTTTCACACTCATTGCCTTGGGGATCGTTGGGCCCCACTTTTCGCGTCGGCTGTATGGCTGGAAAGGGCATGGTTGGTGAGATGACGCGCATGAGTTGGAGGTAACGTGACTTAGTGCGTGGTGCTAAGGGACGGTTGGGCCGAGAGAGTTTGGGGGCTTGGCAGAGGGGGAGATGATGATTGGTGGGGGTTTGATGATTGTTGAGGGGTTGAAAGGGGGTTTAGTGAGGGAGGCGTGGTTGGAGGGGGTGATGGGGTGGTTGTGGCGTGGTGGGCAGGATGGGGTGGTGTCACGGTGGGAGGAGAAGAAGGAGTTCAGGGTGCATTTGAGTTTGTGATGGGTGCTTCATTTGGTGCATGTGCAAAACTAAGATACCCAGTTCCTCGAATATTTGAGATGCTCATACGGAGGCGTGAAGCGATTCGGTACGTTCATAGTCGTACTATTATGCCAAAAACCACCGTTGTATGCCCCAAAGTAAGTTCGAACGCCAGACTTCGAACACCGCAACTCCGAATAATCACATACCAATGCCTACAACGACATCGGTATCAGCATCGGCATCGAAAATCGAGTGTGGTCGTGTCGTCCGAGTGGTGAGCGTGCAACTACCGCCTAGGTGTAGTTGGCAGTAACAGCTCCGTACCGAATGCCGTTGACCGAGAGAGACAGCTCCAGAGAAGACTGGATGTTCATTTCGATCTCGAAGACCAAGGTGAAGTAGGTACCACTGGATGGGCTCGTATCAACCCGGAACGCACTCTGAGGAACACGGCTCAGATCGACGTCCAATGTAGCGATTTTCGACACACCCTGGATATAGTCAATACATTTACTGCAGCATATTTCGATTGCTCAAACGTACCTGATCGGAGCAACGGGGCGGAGCTTTGTCGAGGTCGCTGGCTAGAAGCTCACAGGTCGCTCTACGAACGTCACCGGGCCAGAAATGCTGGCAGAAGGTGAATTTACCATGCGACTCAGACTTGGCAGCAAGATCTTGACCCTTCTTCAGTATCCACCTCATCTGGTTGCCGGCTTGCTTGAGACCGGTGTACGGAGAAACAAAGGCGTCGATTTCCTTGTGCTTGGCCGGGACGAATGCAGCGTAGCAGTCGGTGCCATAATGTCTACGACACTTGCGGTTCTTGATCGGGGTACGGCCGTCGCCTTCGAGGCCTTTGGCGGCTGCGCCGCGAACGATAGCGGACCAACTACAGTATAACGTATTAGTCATTGCCCATAATGAAGGCTGAAAGGCTTCACTTACGCATGAGCGGGTCGGATTGCAACTAGACCGTTTGCTTCGGCAAACACCCTGAGCTTCTCGTACATGTAAGGAGACTCTGAGAAGCCACCTACCATGAAGATCCACTGCAACAATTAGTACTAAGATCGCGTTCCGCGCCTGGGAAATGTTTTGTCATACCTTCAGCCGTGCGTTGCCTTTGCGACGCGCTTGCTGCATTTGCCCAAGCAGAAGCTCGTATGTGCGACGAAGCGGAAACTCGAACATCTCTTGCATATCTTCCCTGTTATTTGTTAGTAGGTATATGAGAAGTGATTGTGGGAGACTTACGCGGTGATCGTGATCTCACCATCTTGGATACCCCTAGCCTCGTCGTCTGCAATCGAGCTCAAGGGCACTGGAAGACGAAGGAAGTTCGTCTCGACACCCGAAAAGCCGCTCTTAACCTCCAGTACGAAATCTTGTACCATACGGCTCAGCTTCGGAGAAAGTGAAGTGCGAGGTAGGTCCTCGCTCCTCTCACCAGCAATGAGCAAGAAGTCAGCGGTGCCCAGACGGCGCTCCAGCCACTTCAAGAAAGCTCGCTCCACGAAACTACCACCACACTGATCACCGGTTCCGATCGTAGCTTCTTCAAGAGTAGTCGGATCCAAGTCGGCAACCCGGTACGAAATCCTATATATCGAGGTGTAAAGTCATTATGTGTTTCAAAGAATCTTGGAAGTTGGTACCACTTACAAGTCTATCGTACCGCCACCCATATCGCACACGATGAACCCGTCACCAACTGCGAACTGCTCATCCTGGATGCCTCCACGAATTGACTGAATGGTGTATATGGCGGCAGCTTCTGGCTCAGTCGTAAGGACTGTACGCTTCAGTTGAGGCAGCTCGATGTTGTTGAACCCAGCCTTGTTGACGGCCTTGAGCGTAGCACTCTTAGCGGAATCCGACCACACTGCCGGAACGGTGATCACGAGCGTGATTGGAAGGGATCGCCATAGGCCCTTTCCGTACTGAATGTCGAGGTTCTTGATGACGTGAGCCTTGACGTGCGCGAGGAACTCTGCGATGATATCAACTGGCTTGCTCGAAGGGCCACGGTTATCATCGAGAGTGAGCTCCTTCAAGATCTTGTCGACCTCGCCGGCTTTCGCGTCATCGAGGAGGAGTTTGGTCCACATGTGTCGTTGGACGTTCGGCGCGATCAACGATCCCCATTGAGTGCGGTCTTTCAATGCAATCTCACTCGGTACTTTCTCTTTCGTGCCGATCTTTGTATGACGAGATGGCCAATCTTTGATCACATGGATGTCTTTACCAACGACACCAGTGTCAGATGTTTCGCAGATCGCGACACCTACGTCGTGTTATCAGTATACTGGCAGTATCTTGAGCCTCTCGGATACACTCACCTGTGTACGTTGTGCCATAGTCTAGGCCTATGACCAAGCGGCTGCTGAGCATGTTGTGTGTGTACGCGCGGTAGCGACAAGTGGTCAAGTGGTGTGGCGTTGTGGTAGGGTAAAGGATGAGAGCAGCGGGATGCAGCAAACTCAGCGTTTGTGTGAGCGCAGAAAATCTTTAGCGAGCTGCGCAGAAATTTTCGTTTTCCTCAAGGTGAAGGTGAAGATGAAATGGCGAGCGCTTGGACGCTTCCTTGTTTGGCGGTCTCTTCAAGTGCAAACGGCCTCACTGTGACACCACAACAGACCCGGGACCGACAAGCAATTCCAGTTCATCAGCTGCAGGACAAACCACGGTTTTAGGTGTCATGCTAGCATGGACGTGTTCAAAGATCTGGTGAGTGGCAACCTGAGGTTCGTCGCAGAAATTTACAACTAACGATACCCTGTAGTACACCTCAGTGATGGGCCCAATTCAACCTGCCCCGGCTGCGAAACTCGAGAACTACGATGTCAAGAACCGCGTCACGAGATCCTCTTCGCGAGTATCGAAACCAGCGAACGAACCAAGTCTGAGCAGCAGTGGGGTAAAGGATCGCATTGAGGCGATTGAGACAGTGAACAGACCCAACATGAGCTCGAAACACGCTCGCAAAGCATCAGAGCCAAGGGCCCCACGAAGAGACATCATCGCATGCTTCGAGGAAGCGCTATCTGAACGAGAGAAGGAATTGGAAGAACAGCAAGCTGAGAACAAGAAATTGGAGCGCAGGAACATCAGACTGCGAACCTCCTACAAAGAGCAAGCTATCGTCATCGCGGGACTCGAATCAGACAAGAAAGACATGGAGGATACCATCAACACTGCGATAAAGAGTCATCTCGATCCCTACGCGAAGAAGCACGGTACTCTCCCTGATGGATGGAAAAATGATACTTTCCTCGCTGCCATCGCCTCTTTATTTGAAGACGCTGAAGCCACCAACTCCCAAGCCATCGAAGTCAAGTCCTTGACACAACAGTACCAAGCACTTCAGGAAGAGATGTGCAAAAAGGTTGAGGAAACTGCAGAGGCCGCCGATTCCAAAGCCGCTGAGATCGCGTCTTTGACACGACAGATCCGAACACTCCAGAAAGAGATGCTTGCGAAGGTTGAGAAAGTCGACGTCGCCTCTGATGAGAAATTGGCCCAAGAGTTCCGTGTCATCATGTCACTTGTCAGAACATTGAGCCGTACCATCCGTGTTGACGAGACTATCGATGTCGCGGAGATCCTCGGTCGGGGCCCTTTACAGAAGAAGGTCTCCCACCATCACTGGATTGGACGTGCGAGGAAGAAGCTCTTGGTGGAAGGATGGATCTGGTCTGTTCTCATATTCGTGGTCTTTCGCACACCTTTCATGATATTCGGCAAGGAATATGAAGCACTCAGCCAGGTGTGGTGCACCATCTTCGGCTCTGAACACTGCAATGGTTGGCCAAACCCCACTGCACTCTCCGAGACCTGGCGCTACACAACGATGGAGAGCATGCTGGCGACGATTGACCCTACTGTCATTACACATGGAACGACCCAGGAGGAGCCGGATGACATTGAGATCGGTATCGCTGGCGCGCGTACGATGTGTGCCGAAGTCCTCAGGAATGCTCTTTCAAGAGTTTCGTCTGGCGGTAACCCCTCACAGATCGAGACCATCGTCAACAAAGCATTCGCGCTTGCGATGCAAATGTCTGTTCAGCGAGTCCGCCTCCAGATCACCTATCCAACCGTTGGGGACATCTTTGACAACGAGACAATGAACTTCCTTCCTGATCCTGATGGCGCTGACGTCGACCACGGAACTGTGGCCTTCACTGTCAACCCTGGCTTGAGCAAATGGGGCGATGCGCACGGTAAGAACTTGGAGCATCGTTACGACATTGTGCCATCTCAGGTCCAATTGGAAGCTCCTCTTCAAGAGGGAATTGCGGTCCACGAACCAGTATCGTCGCGTCTTGCGCAGCGTGGCCGTGACCAGGCTCCGGTATCTGGAGATACGAATGAAGGAGACAGCCAGCGCTGAAAGGTTTTGAGTACTCTAGTCAGCGGATGTGATCATTGACCAGAGCTACACTGCCGTTGACACCTGGCACGAGAATGAGAGGAAACTTCTACTCTCTGAGACAGCATATGGCCTTGGTTGTGGATCGTTAGTAAGGGATTTTCTTCCTTCTTGAACTATACTCCGTTGGCCAGATTGCCGTCGTACAATAGCATAATTCTGCCCCATAGCGCGAGAGAACCGAATAAAGAACTCACTTGTGACACCCAGTTTCCCACTCATCGTTCGTAGCCGTAGCTAATTCCGTTCTGCCTACCCTGGTGTCATGTTGTGAACTACTCGTGTTCGAATCGCCGACAACAACTCGTATGATAGCTATACGAAAGGGAGTGGATGACGATAGGACTATTGATGTAGGAGATGAGACGCGATCGAAATCGAGATGAGGGTGAATGTTCACGTCAGAGGCGCGTCCGAGCGAAGCCATTTCCGCGGCTAGCGCCGAACGCGTCTCGGGCATCCTCGATACCACACGCATACGAGCTGTGCAAGCACCCGCACCCACGCATGCCAATTGCCCTTCTGCCATACTCTCTATTTTAATCACGTCTTCTATTCTTCGCCCCGCAAATGCAGAGCATACCGTAAGCTTCACGCCGCCCCACCAGCCCCTCTCAAATCCTCCCGACGCGTCTCGCAGCGCGTTTTCTCGACACCCGCACGCAGGGCAAACCACTCTACCGCCGCCGCCATGTACCTTCCGCGAAACCTGATAGCCCACCTATACCAGAACCTCATAAAACGCACACATGCCGCCGCACCACCTGTTTTACTCCTCGTCGCCCTCGAACCAGACGCGCTTTGTGCCTGCCGAATCCTTACCGCGTTATTGAAGCGCGACTACATACAACACAAGATCCAACCGATAGCCGGATATGGAGACCTATCACGAGCGGCAGAAGAGCTGGTACGGCCGATGCGGACAACGGACGGTGGAAGTGGAGGCGTCGTAATATGTCTGGGCGTCGGAGGCATGGTGGACATGGAAGAGATACTAGGCCTGGACGTGGATGAGGATGGCGAGGGTGGCACTGGCGATGTCGAGGTCTGGCTTTTGGACGCGAGACGGCCGTGGAATCTGACGAACGTTTTTGCCGCCCCCATAAGTCAGGACCCCGCAACGGGAGAGTTTGTGCGGAGACAAGCGGGGGTGGACAAGGGCAAGATCACGCAGTCATACCAGTCGTCAAGGGGTGGAATTATAGTCTTTGACGACGGTGACATCGACGAAGAACTACAGGCAGAGCGTGAAGCATACGCTGGGCTTGAGGAGATGCCAGAGGTGGGGGAAGAAGACGACATCAGCGACGACTCGGACGACCAGGATGATGAGGAGCCGCCGTCTGGACAAGCACCGAAGAAGAGGAAATCTTGGGGCGAGGAAGACGACTCTGAGGATGACATGACAGATGACGAGCGGCCAGCACAAAGACGGAGGAGTAATTCGGTATGTATAGTCGATGTTCAGACGGAGTCTTTACTAACATTACCTAGGGAGGCTCAATACCATCGTCACCCGAACCGAGACGGCGAAGAGGCCTGCTAGCAGCGCAACAACTAGGCGGCTCCTCCGACTTTTCGCGTTCAGACTCCCGCAGCCGCTCCGCATCCCCATCAGTAGCCGCACCGAAAGAGAAGTCGTTGAAGAGCCTACGAAGGCAGCTGATCAAGAAGCGGAACAAGTACGCATCCACACTCGACAAATACTACGGACTCGGCACTTCCTACTCAGACCCAGTCTCTTCTCTCGTATACAACTTAGCGTCGGAACTCGGCCGCGAAGACAACGATCTGCTATGGAATGCCATCGTTGGTGTCAGCAGTCTGGAACTATACGGGCGGACAGGGAGCGGTGTTGGCTTGAACCCCCTCTCGGCACAAGGAGGGTCGGCAGGCTGGAATGGTAACCGCGGAGAGAACATACGCTCTGTCTTGCGAGACGAAGTACGTCGACTGAACCCTGTCACAGATGCCTCAAGTGTGTCCCGCAATGCAACAATGGGCGAGGTGTGGGGTGTCATCCCGACCAGCGCCCTCTCAGCAACAGACAAGTCCATCCGCCTCTCCCCCGAGCCGCGTTTCCTTCTCCTCCGGCACTGGTCTCTCTACGAAAGTATGCTCCACTCGCCCTACCTCTCCGCCAAACTACACATCTGGAGTGATGCAGGGCAAAAGCGACTTGCCAAACTCCTTGCCAAGATGGGTGTTTCGCTCACTGAGTGCAAGCAAAGATACACCCACATGGACATGGAGCTCAAGCGTGGTCTCCGAGAACGCCTTCTGAAGTTCGCGCCACAATATGGGCTCGATGGCCTCGTACCCCCAAAGTCAGGTACAGGCGACCCCAAAGACGGATGGGGTTTCGTACGCTGCTGGGGCTGGAAAGCATGTCTCTCCGCCATCGACGCCGGCGTAATCCTAGGAGCCATCCTCGAAGTCGGCGACGCAAAGAACCTCAACCAATCCGCCCTTGACAGTTCCAACTTCGTCGGAGCCAACGACCACACCGAGATGCCCTCCTCGACGCAAGAACAACAAGACCTCGCCCAAGAACACATCACCAGCCGCTTCTGGACCGCCTACGACGCCCTCGGTGACATCGACCGCCTCGTCGAGCACATCAGCACAGCTCAACACCTCCACCGCGCAATCCTGCGCACCGGAACCGCCCTAATCGAAAAGAAACAAATCCGCCACCTGCGCGCCTTCCGTATGGCCGTCGTCAAAGAAGGCCCCGACGTCCAACTCTTCACCCACCCGGGCGCCCTCACCAAACTCGCCCTCTGGATCGCCGAAGCCATCGTCGAACTCAACGGCACAAAAGGCAAGAACAAGGGAAGCGAGCTCGTCATGGCTGGTCTCGACGACTCCCGCGGTCTCTACGTCGTCGTTGGTCTTGGTGGCGGCGGCGCAACTGAATCTGCTAAATCCCGTCTTCAGAAACGAGAAGCTAAACTTAAAGCTAAGGAAGCGCGGCAGGCGCAGAAGGCTGAAGCGAGAGAGTCCCGCCGTAAAGCGCGTGTCGCGCGGAATCTAGCCGCGGGGCTTGAAGAAGACGAGGTTGCTGATGAATCGGAGTCCGACGCCGAAGAATCTGATTCTTCGGATAACGACTCTGAGGACAGCGAAGATGAGGATGAGGAGAGGGGATCCGGCAGGAATCGCTTCGGTAATGCGTTCCAAGAGGTTGTCAGGGAGACGGGAGCACGCGTAAGAATGGACAGTTTCGAGGCGTGTGTGATTGAGATTAAGAAGGAGGATCTTAGTGGATTTTTGGAGAAACTGAGTCAGAAGGCTGTTGTTGGGTAGAGAGATTTTCTTTGTGTCACGTACTGATTCTGGGGCAAGATGGCGATGATTTGGATTCGGCAAGAAGGGAAAGGCAAGATACCACTTTTGCAGGAGGAAAGGTTGGATTTTGGGCACAGCGCTTTTGCATGATTTGGCATTTTTGGATATGGGGATATCCGTTGCTTCTTTCTTCTATTGATTCAGGCATATTTGTAGGCAGGGCGAACGATGTACAAGCGATGATATTACAAGAGTACTTAGCATAGCACAACCACAACACAGCATAGCATTACAACCAAGCATAGCAAGCAAATCGTATTCATGCATAACATATCCAATTTTCGACCGCTGGGAAGAAAGGAAAGTGGTATCTTTAGTACTAACGCACAAACAAAACCGACACGCCGCTCATCCAAACTACCATCACGACCAAAAACTACTTGGTATACGATCGCTCTTTTCTTCCTCCCATTGTTAGGCCCTCGCCATCTTCGCCATCGTCCCAGCTTCCTTCTCCGCTACTCCTTCTTTTCCTCGTCCGCTGCTTGACACCATCTGTCAGCCTCCTCTTCACCTCGTCCAAGTTGCCATCAATAGTACTGAAGGGCTTGAGCTGGAAGCCGCCCAGGTTCGCACTGCTGCTATTCCGGCTACGACTCTTCTTCGGCGTCTGCGGTCGACTAGAGAAGAAGTCTTGGTTGGCGAGGTCGTGGAACGATTCGTTGCGTGGTATCTCGTTGATGGAGCCGGGTGACGCGGGGTAGTCGTAGGTTTCGATGTCCTGGCCTGCTTCTCTTTCCGCGTCTTCGTCCGACTTTTGCGGTGGTGTGCGGGGACGCTCTTGCTTGACGAAGGGATCCTCGACGATGCGTTTGGAGTGGAAGTCCTCGTACATCTCCGGACCGAGTTCGTTGATGATGTCGTTTACACGCTGGGCGAGGTTCTCACGGCGCTCTTGTAATTTGACGAGTTCGTTGTTGGAGAAGGGGTTCATCATCTTCCAGAGGGGGCCGAGGGACTTGAGGATGTCCATGGCGACTTCGCCGAATCGGAGAGCGCCGTATGTGAGGGTGACGTAGACGACGAGTTGGGGGATGATGAGCCAGCGCTTCTGAATGCCAGCGGGAAGGTATCCGTTGCATTGGTTGTAGGAGTACCAGTAGAGTCCCAAGCAAACATACCAAGCGTAAGCTGTTGGAGCGGCAGCCATGGCAACAAGAAGTTTCCACGTAGCCATGACATCTCTGGCTTGAACCTTGACGTTTGATGCAGCGAGTGCCTCTCTGGCCTTCTTGATCGAGACAACCTTAGTGACAATGAAGACCAAGCTGAAGAGCAGAGTTCCGGGAAGGACGAGCATGCTCAGGAAGAGGAGCTTTCCAAGACGGTAGAAGAAAAGGCCAAATGCCGTAATAGGATGCATCTTTGCATACTGCACCTGGTGATCCCGGAGGCCAAGCGCCTTAAGCTTGCCGTTGTAGGTGGTGACTTCCTTCTTGAGTTCGACGATGCGAGGGTCGTCTTTGTAGCGTTCGTAACCCTGGACGAGGCGGCGATTAAGCTCCACGATCCTTGGAAGAGGGAGCTTCGTGCCTTTGGAGTTGTAGAGGCGGCGCACAGCTTGGATGACCTAGAAGGGTCAGCAGTGATAAAGAGTATGGGTGTGTATC